TGATAATTCCAGAGATAGCTAAGGCTAAGGTATTAGGCTTTGACAATATCCTTCAAGAATGCCAAACTTTGTCTAACTTTCCACGTTTTTTCCCATTGAGAATCTACACCCAATTCACTGAAAATATCGTAGGTCTGCTCCTTGCCAAGGCGGCATTTTTGAGGCTGGAACCTATAAGACTTGTGCAATGATATTCCTGGTGACAGCCATATGGATTTTCAATGAATTTCAAAGGCCATAGGCGGCCATAGTTGCTAAAAGCCAGAGAAACATGCACAAGGCAATGGCAATGTCAATTTATTAGGGTCATTCCACCAGGAGGACACACGATTGCATTTTTTTGTCGTGCGTTATCGGTTACTGTCTCAGACAAAGTTTCTAACATGGTTGTGCTATGTGTTGGGATGTAGCTGATCACTGATACGGGCACGTGGGATTGAATTTGCCGTTATCTTGTTCTATGATTGGGTAAAATTGACCTTTTATTTTTTATGTGCACTAAAAGGTTGGAAGCAAATGGTTTTCACTGTTTACATGTAAGAAGAGTGATTTGCTGCATGTCCTTCCATTCACTGTCAAGTTGCGATGTGAATTGATGTGATGTTCTCTTGATTACACAAGACTTGGTAGAATCCTTGAGATCTACACTAACATCCTATTGTATCTTTGATTCTTTTTTGTTTCCTTTTCTGGTTGAGTTGAATAGTAACACGTTGGTTTATTCTGGATAATTTTGGGATAATACCCGCGTAGTCTTGTCAAGTTTCAACCTTGATAGAACCTTTGCAAGTGCAATTGCTTGCATCCCCCATGATGTTGTAAAGCCATATCCTTTATATATTTCTACTTGTGCTTCAAACCACAATTTAATCTAATCAATCACAATAAATGTTCACACTAGAAAGTGTCTATGGTGATGTCAAAAAGGGGGTTTGCTCTAGTTTTAGGACATAGACATAGATTTACTTTGATCATATCATTGATAGGTATTGTGAAAGCGTATGTATATATATATGTATATATACTGTACATATAATTACATATTAGATACACATCGAAATTGCTGCTTGCGATGCATCTGCTTGCCATGCATCATGGGTGTACTTGTAAGCCGCCTTTGCAAAACCATTTGTAATTGGACACTAATTTAGAACCAAAATTATGGGGCCTACCTCCACCCGTAGTACACGATTATACACTTCACAGACTTCACAGAATGAAATGAAACAATGAGCATCTCATAATGCAGCAGGAAAAGAGTAAACAAAAGGAAGCATGGAAATCATGGAAAGACATAAAAAAAAAGAAAACACAAGGCTATGAGTATAGACAATCGTAAACTCTCAAACCATGGGAACAATTTTTTTGGGCTAGTGCGTTCTACTCGACCAGGAGTTGTGGCATGGTTGCGTCGTTTGGAAAGCGCCCATGCCAGACCGGGCGGTAGCTCTTTGGACGCAGATTGTGCTAGGGGTTGTCAGATTGGTGGGTTGCTCTCCTTTTTGTTTGGGGTTGTTTGTGATCCTACCTGGGATAGCCTGGGATCACGATCGCCAAGTGATTTCTCATTTGTTTGTCACTGAAGTGAAGAACCAGTTCCTGACAGCGGTTTTGTAGCAACAAAGATGTTTTGTTTGGTCATTGCTCAAAGGTGCTGACAATATCTGACAATATATATAGGCACGGTCGAATTGCCTCACAGGTTTGGCTAAGCTTGGTTGCTGAAAGGGGTGAACAATCTTTCATCTCCGCCCATTATACATATACAGATGGAGATGCAGAGATGCACATATGTATGTTGCGTTGTACGTACATACATGTACATATGTATAACTGTATAATATATATATAGTATCTCCATGTATCTCTATATGCACACATGTAGATATATATAGATATATATATATATATATACGTATGCATAAATGTATAAATAAATATTACATACAGTATATAATATATGTGTTTGATTGTGTTTGTACATACACAGAGAAAGGGATGGCTCGTTAGATTTCGAGTTACCAATTGAAGCCCCAGCAGCTATTCCCAATTGCGTCTCATCTCAAACGGTCCGAAATCTCACGTCACTGAAGTCTTCCCGAATGGTTTCCTCCCCCCAAAAAAATCATCCCACGGTCTAAAAGGATCTAAAAGGTATCACCAACTCCGCGTTGAACACCACAAAAAGCTGATTTGAAATTTGACATGTGAATATCCGTAAATATTCATTACAGATACTGGGCATAAATATCATGTTTTTTTTTTAAGTAGGTACATATATTATATATAAAATACACATATACACAGACGTATAAAGCATAAATATCAAGGGTATTTCCCCACGGTCAACTTTCAGGCTTTGCGCTGCCACGTCGAAGTGGAGGCTCTGCCACAGCTCGTCTCGAGCGAAAATGGCACCGTGGCGCTGCAGGGCGGCGCTTGGGTCACGGCTGAAGCGAAAATGGCGCGACAACGGCGGAGACGCTTTTTGATGTGGTAAAACCACTAAGACACTAAGACACCATCCCATTCATCAACAGTGGCGGTATAGTTCTAGTTATATATCCCATTCATCAACCATGTTGGGAATGATTATTCCATCATTTCTTCTCCGACGGAGTAAACCTCATAAAGCTTCGGGGATGTTGCTATCAGGGTTGATCCAAGATAATTTCTTGGTAACCAAAGCCATGGAATGGTACAGTGTGAATACTGGGGTTGTGAAAATCCTGGGTTGAGTTGAAGACATGAAAATGGGATAGCATGAATAGATTCTATATTAAATGTGGCATATATATATATACATAGGCACTACCCTCTCAATGTTTGTTTTTGAGATATTAAATGTATTTAAATGTAGGATCGGCATCTTTTTTGCATCGATCTGGCGGCTGATTTTTGCCTTTTGGGAACAAAATCCGATTTTTGGTTGAATGTTCACAGCAAAGAGAAGTAAAAGCAAAGTCAGTATAGCAACTCGCAAAAAATAGACAAGCATATGATTCATCACTATATTTTAGTATAGTAATAGTATATATGATGTTGCTGTGCAACCTTTTTTGGGGGTTGCTATAGTTTGCAGTAACTCTACAACGAACAAGTTTTGCTGGGAATGGTGATCGAATGGAGATGAGCAGCGGGTTGTCCAAGTTATTGGTCAGTCTTGAGACGGAGAAAACAATGATGAAAAGGGGTACCCCAATTTTGGGAAACGGCCATTCGAGTCATGAAACTGTACTCAAATTACTTGGTTAGCTTGGAATCGTATATATATATATTTATATTCTGTTTTACTTTAGTCGCTGAAAGAGAACTCATTCAAATGGCTTTTCTAATAGCTTAGACTTCTAGTTTTCAAGCCTAACTACTGAAAGTTTCCTGGTTGGTACTGGTAGTTTCGACAATGGTCCTCCTGTTAATCCCCAAAATGGGATGCTCCTGATGATGATCGTATCATTATGGATTAGCGTTAATTCTATTTAGCTTTCACTAATATGGATGTTTCGAATAAAATCGGGGTACCAACATTTCATCCAAAAATTGTTCATCATTTCAGTATTGAAACCCATGGTGAAACCCATGGTGAAACCCATGGTGACTTGGGGTACCCCCATGTCAAGAAGCCCCCAGCATTGATGACGGATGTTTTGGTGTCGGATGGTAGACCAAGGCCAAACATCTACCTGGAGTTGATGCCTCTGAGGCGCGCTGTCCTAAGGGGTATGCATTTGATATATTTGAAATTAGGGGGAAGGGATTACTTATTTAAGGTTAGCCATATCGATGTATCATATCAAAATTCATTGAAATAGTTCATGTCATGATGTCTAAACTCACTAAAACATATTACTCCGAGATTATACCAGTAGTACCGCACAAGGCGGTGGCGGAAGTTTCAAAAATACCGCACAACGGCGTGCCTTTTTCCACATCTCAACTTCCAAAAGTGGTCCGAACATGTGGTGTTTGTGCATTTTGACTTCGAAATGTGCTTCGCGCCACAACGGCGTGCACTTTTTCGACATCTCAACTTCCAAAAGTGGTCCGACGCTGGTGTGTTTTGTACATTTTGACTTCGAAATGTGCTTCGCGCCACAACGGCGTGCACTTTTTCTACATCTCAACTTCCAAAAGTGGTCCGAGAATGGTGTGTTTTGTACATTTTTGACTTGGAAATGTGCTTCGCGCCACAACGGCGTGCACTTTTTCGACATCTCAACTTCCAAAAGTGGTCCGAGCATGGTGTGTTTTGTACATTTTGACTTCGAAATGTGCTTCGCGCCACAACGGCGTGCAAATTTTCATCTCTCATCTGGCCAGCTGGCTCCGCACCCGCCGCTTTAGCGAGCCTACTTTTCGACCCTCCGGAGCCACAAATCATTGGAAAAACACAGTGTTTCGCGACTTTCCCACCTTTTCGCGCATCTGCATCTTCATTCTTCTGACTCTTTCTCTTCTCTGACCTTCTCTCTTCTGTGACCCTTCCCACCTCTACTTTTCATCTGTCCATATTGTCGGAAGTTTGACTTCTAAACTTCCTTCGATTATATAACGTCTTAGTATGTCTTAAAGTTAAGTTCCGTTGATGTCGATGTATCCCCAGCCCTTCATGACAGGCTTCACTGCCAGTTGACCCTGGCAGCTCTGCGTTTAGACCTGGGCCTCATTGATGAGGCGAGCCGATTTTCGACAGGATGCCCCAGGAAAATCTGGTTCCATGGTTTCGTTTGGGGCTGTTTACTATGCACGGGGGGGGAAAGGGGGAAAGGGATCAGTCAAAACCCGATGGATTGATGACCCGAAATGTGAATTTTACACGTATTTATAGAACATGCACATGTTTCTTGGGATTAAGTCATCATAACTCATTAAATTGTCAATTCATATGTGTGGGGATTCAACTGATTCATGTTGTTCAAGGCTTTAACTATGAACAAATATGGGGATACCACGGATACATGATGGTTGACATATTAAGCGGCTATCACAATCCACTATGGGAAATCCCATCAATGAACCAATATATAACCAATGACAGAAAAATTTGAGCACTGCTTTAAGCTGGGAAAATCATAGTGCCAATTGGATTCATTAAAGATGAACATCCTTTAGATTTGCTGATGATGTCAATGAACATATTGTTTCCTCATTGGTCAAGGAATCGTCGAATCCACCTTTCCAACAAAGATTTCTTTGTTCTCTGGGAGTCCGAAGCAGTGGCAGCCAATCTGGCCATAAATGATAAATTATCATAAATGAATATCAGTTGACTACCAGAGGGATGTCAACCACATATTGGAATCAACAAGTGATCGTAACATATCATAAATGCCAACACACATGAAACAAAAACGTATAGTGCTGCTAGATTTACATCATTTCAAAGCCCGATTAACAAACCCATGGGCTGTTGATCATTATGGGGTATCATTTTAGCAGCAGATAAGCTCACGATTTGGTGGGCACCCTCTACTGAACCAACTAGGGTAAATTTTAATCCGGGGGTCAGCACTACTGCCAACAAACACATCCATCTATGTAGGTAATGTACCAGGACCACAGACCGCAGATAGTCTGAGTAAGTATATAAGTGGGATTGACCCCAAAAACCATCAACAACTTGGGTTTCATCACCCCCAAATGTGGATGTTTGTCAAGTTTGGGGCCTGACCAATCCACCAAACTGAAACGTCCGTAAATGGTGGGAGATTGTCTTAACTAAAAAGGTGGGAAAAAACGTATGTATGTCATAGTTTTCTCCATGAACATATACATACATATATTACATTACATTACACTATATTACATTACAGATTACATATCATATATATATATATATATATCGTTAATAAGGGAAAATATCCCCAAATGGCCGAGCCATTTGGGTGAACTCCGCCAGCTTCCGTTCTCTCCCAGTCTATATCCCAGGACTCAATTGAGATCCCCATTAACTCCCACTAAAACCCATTGATTACTCCACACTAAACCATTGGCATGTACACAATGTGTCAAACCTCTGAATTCCCGTCTACCCCAAGCCTGACCTCACTGAGGCGTGCCAACTCTTACAAGATGCGGAGCTTTGCATGACCAGGTGATGTCATCGCATCAGTGGTCTCCCTTGGAAGCATCCCCTTCATATTGAGCTATCTCATTCCCAGCGAATAAGTATCCCCATGTTTGGTGCTGAAGGTTCTGCTGAAGCTAAGCCTACTGATTGTTGTTTGTGTTATGTTTGGTACATATATATATATATATTTGGCTGGAGTCACAGTTGCTGTCGTTTTTTTCCGCATCCATTTGAGTGTTTTCTTTCCTGGCTCTATCTTTTTGGTGTATGTGTTTTGAGTGTTTGTGGTGAACAAGGCCAAAGACACTTTGCTTCAAGCAGATGCCCGGTGTAATTCCTCAAAGGGCTTCAAGTTGAGGAATCATGGGTTCAAAAGAGCAGCTGTTAGTAGTGATTGCAGCTTTCAAATCTCATGTTTCTTTTCCGCATTTCTTTCCGAAACAGTTCACAGCACAACAGAACGGGGCCACACAAAAAAAGCCAAAACAGTAAATGACCTTCAATTTTTTGAGATCTTTGGGTTGACCCTTGCTCCAACAGAGACCATTCTGCTGGTTGATTATGCAAAATTGAAACCGTAGTATAGTTATGTATAGTTTGATTTGGAATAGTTCATACCCAATAAAGGCATATAAATATAAATGCATTTTTTGGCCTGGCATCCATGATTGACTGTGGGATGGGGGTCCGCCATTTGTATTTCAAATCACTTGGATCGCCCACCGCTCAACTGATGGTCATTTTGTACACAAAAAAGGTACCACCGTTTAACAGTACCAAACAAAATGTGGTCAAGCAGTTCTTGCTGAAACTAGACACGTAATTTACGGGTCTTTTGAATAATGTATCCGTGTTCTAATAGGTGCATTTTGGGACAAAGCTGCACACAGAAACTTTGCAGGGAATGATGAAGTGATCAGCGCCAGGGCTGGGTTTCAATCCTCAGAAAAGAACACAACATGTAGGGTGACCAGGAGCAGCTAAGATTTGGATGATCCGATGATCCAGGTAGGACAGTTTGGTTTTACCGTATTTCTCGGGAATAGCTCAGTTCAAAAGAGGTGCCAGGGCCGTCCAGGGCCCAAGGGTCGAAGTGTCGGAGCAAGGCGATTGGAATTCCCACTGCCACAATTTTGGTCCAAAGTTCTATGGTCACATCCTTGTTGAGCAACTGCATTAAAGGCTTATGCAAGGTGCATAAGGAGTATGGTTGGCTAGATTTCTTGGGCTAATTTTCTGCCATGGACAAAGGAAGTTTTTTATCACACGCTGGAACGCCGCAAGACCGACACGTACTGCATGATGGTTTTGCATGGACTCGTGGTCTGATAAAACATGCGGGACTGCAAACATACGTACGGTTCAGGTGGCGACCATTTTCTGAGGAAACCTGAGCACTAGCGGGAACCAACAAAACAGACCTGGAAATT